TGACGAGTTGTAATATGGTGCTACGAATGGCGAGACTCACTGACGATGCCGACCACGATGCCGGCGAAACATCTGGGAATGTTCCACGTCCACGGTCCTACTCTGGAAATGCTGATACATACAATGGACTCCGGACTAGGTACGTTTCTGTAAGTCTTCCTGCCAATATAACCAAGTTGCGAAAACAAGGTCAGACAACTTCTATTAATTTTTCCAATTTAACAGCAAGAATCAACCCGCTTGATCTTCATATCTCTTATCTGACTTGCTCTCTTTTTTTGTCTGTTGAGTATTTAATCTTTCATTTCTCTTATTTTCAGGTGCACAGCTTCACTGAGCGCATTGGCACTGGCTCCTCCCGTCACAAGCTTGATTCAGACGACCTTAGCTCCAGATCACTCGGTTCCCCCTCAAACCAAGAGATTTGCATTAAACAGAATTATCCTGTCACTCGCTTGACGACCGCAGGAACGCGTTTACCTGAAAAGAGGGTCAGAGTGAGGGGAACGAGTCTGACGTCCCCAGCTGGCATTGATGCAGAGAACAAAGGTCCATCCAAATCAATGACTAAAAATAAAGATGAAACTAGTGGCGATAATAGTTGTAGTAAAAATGATAGTATCGCTGCTACTGACGCCTTCCAGAGTCCTGAAAGAGTGAGTTCCATTCGGTCAGACAAGCAGGTTGGTGGCTGCAAGAAAAGCGGAGCCTGCCGAATTGCCAACAAGCCATATGAGGGCGGCATTCGCGGAGAAGGCGTTAACACCAGGCAGGCCGGCGACGACGGACGCCTCAGTGACCATACCGGGGCCGCCAATGCGCCTGGCTCCAACCCTCGCCGGCACCGCTGCAGCATCTGCCACATTGGATTCCGAATGTCCGGGCATCTGGCCAAGCACTACAGGTCGAAAGCGCATCTCACCATGCTGCTCCAGTCGGGCCGGATCCCGGCCGCCCTGGCCGAACAGGTGCGCGCCAGCAGTCTGCCTGTGCACCAATTGGTTGACCAGAACACCGGCGAGCTCCTTGCCTTCATAGACCATGAGGAGGCGGCCAAATAACGCTAACAGACAGTTCTACATGCATATCTTCATAAATTCAGAGCCGAATTGTCAGTACAAAACCTGACAACTCTGGCCATATAGGCGGTTTGCCTCCCTATCCCCTTGGCTCTCGTGCCTTGGTCTGTGTAATCGTGGGCCTGGGCAATTTTGTCTTAGTGGACAATGATCCAACCATCATGAAAGGTTTGCCGAAGTTTATGGCACTTTCGAGATCTCTCCAAATCCTTCATATATATATATATATATGTGTGTGTGTGTGTGTACACGTATGCATGCATGTGTGTATGCATACATGTATGTGAGTGTATGTGTGCCTGCATGTATGTGGGTGTAT